TTGGTCTTTTTGAGACAGGGTCTCCCTGTAGCCCCAGCTGGCCTAGAACTCACTATGTAGACCAGGCTGGCCTTGAACTCACAGATATCCACCTTCCTCTGCCTCCCAAGTGCTGGGATTAAAGGCATGCGCCACCACACCCAGCTTAAAAAATTTTTATTTATTTTCATTTTATATGTGTAAATGTTTTGCCTGCATATATGTAAGTGCACCCATGTCATGCAATGCCCATGGAAGCCAAAAGAGGACATTGGATCTCCTGGAACTGGAGTTACTGACGATTGTTAGTCAGCATGTGGGTGTTGGGACCCGAGTTCAGGTCCTCTGCAAGAGCAGCTGGTGCTCTTAACAGCTGATATGCCTTCCTTTTTGTTTTTTCATCTCTGTCTGTCTCTGCCCCTGGCTTGGCCCCTGTAATCCCTCCAACTCTTTTTTGTCTCTTGTTATCTATCTTTTTCCATAAACCATAGCTTCAGAGCCCCTACCCTGAGCCTGTATTCTCCTCACAGCTTTATCACATGATGGCCTGGTGGACTCTGCTGGTACTGATGGTCCTGATGCTGGACAGGGTCCTGGTTGTTCCTGGGACCCCTATCCCTGCCTTCCAGCTCTTCTCTCAGAACTGTCCCAAGACCACTCCCTACTCTACAGCCTTGGAGAGTCCTTTAGCTACCACCACGGGGCCATCAGCTTCCTGGAGCTATCCCAAAACTGACCCCCGCTTGGGCCCACGCATCACCCTCTCCCTGGATGTCCCCATTGGCCTCCTGAGGATCATATTAGAGCAGGCCCGGACCAAGGCTGCCAGGGAGCAGGCTACCACCAATGCCCGCATCCTAGCCCATGTTGGCCGCCGCTGAGCTTGAGGGAGAAGGTCATAAATTTGGAGTGAACTTGGATGTGATGATTTGGAGGATGACAGCTGAACTGGACAGTACTACATCTGGGCAGAGTACACACCCAAATATCACCTTAGTGGGCCATTGCAAATCACTTCTGAGTGCCCATAGGATCAGTGGGCTTGGACAGTGTGGACACTGCTGTATCAGATATCAGCCATATGGAGTCTTGTCATGCTTCTGTGTCCCACAAGCAAACATGTCTGGACAGCTTGGACACTATCCTATAAGGTCTTTGCCATACAGAATTTTGTCATGTCTAGGTATGCCTGATAGTCACAGAAGATCTAGATACCACCATGTGTAGGCACCATCATGAAATGTTCAGGAGACTCAATACAGGATCCCAATGCTGTACCTGAAGTCAATTCATCTAAGGTCCACAAGCCTGGGTGTCCCACCAGAGGCTGCCATATAAGAAGGGACTGCTGGCTGAGAGTCACATGCTTGTTTTATGTTTGTTTTGCTTTGGTCTTTTTTTTTTTTTTTTTGGTTTTTTTGAGGACGGGTCCCCCTGTAGCCCCAGCTGTCCTGGAACTCACTATGTAGACCAGGCTGGCCTTGAACTCACAGAGATCCGCCTGCCTCTGCCTCCCAAGTGCTGGGACTACAGGTGAGCGCCACCAGGCCCGGCTTGCTTTGGTCTTTTGAGGCAGTCTCAGTATGCCTTGAACTTGCTATGTGACCAGACTAGTCTCAAACTTGCAGCAATCCTTCTGCCTTTGCCTCATAAGTGTTGGGATTACAGGCATGTGTCACTACATCTGCCCATATACTTGTTTTGAGCTCTGTTAGGCAGCACCCCACCTACTTGGATGGGCTATCAGGGGCATTTCCAGGCACAGATGACTACACATGGAAAATCTGATTGTAGCAGTTTTGCGCTGTGTGTGTGTTGTGTGTGTGTGTGTGTGTGTGTGTGTGTGTGTGTGTATATACACCTGCTGAGTCTCTGCCTGCTGTCTCTGGCTGCTATGTATATGAGCAAGGGGTGGGGGAATGTAAGGAGGGTGGGAAGAGGATGCTTGATTCCCAGATCTACAGGAACACACACAACACACAGCTAGGCACTGTCCTACCTACACCCATGCACACCCTGCTCAGTCCTTGGACACACTTGCTCAGGGGAGGGGCCAACTCTACTCTTTCTTTGCTAAACTGTCCTGAGCAAAGATGTTCACCTTTCCGGAACAGCCTCGATTTCCTCAACTGAGTCATGCCACCAAGCTTCTTGTAGCACTGAGTGACATAGTGTACATGAAAGTTGTGGCTGCAGGAGGCGCTCAATAAATGTCAGGTGATTGAAGGCTAGGATGCACTAGAATCACCCAGTCATGTGCACCCAGGCAGTGACACATGAGGGCTGAGTCACACCTGACTTCTCCACCCTTCCGTTCACCTTTCCTCTCCCACCCTCTGACCTGGTCCCTTACTGTGGAAGGAGTAGGTTATACTTATTTCACACACACACACACACACACACACACACACACACACACACACACACACACACACACACACACACTCACCCATTCCATTGCTGGGCTGGTGCTAGGACTGACTTTCTTGGGTGTGTGATCAGACTTGCCTGTGGATGAGGCAGGAGCTCCCAGTGGTGCAGACAACCAGCTACGAATAAGACCAGACCCGGAGTGGTATGGGCAGCTCTGACCGGAGAGAAGCAATTTTGGCCGAAGTGCGGAGCGAAGCTTGCCTGCCTGGATGGGGGCCCAGCAACCTCCTCGGGGAAAGCAGCCCTGGGGGGGGCGGGTCTAGGGTGGCTGGAGAGGCGGGGCCATTCTCGGAGCGGCTGGGGGGGGGGGGGGTACTCTAATCCTTGCCCGGCTGGGGGGGGGGGCCCTGGCCAGTTCGGTGGCAGGATGGACAGAGGTACATTAGGAGGCAGCTCTCTGACCAACCCGGGGCGGGAGAGTGGCCGGCAGGGTAGGCACTGGGCAGTGAGGGGAGGGTGGGAATTGGAAAAGACCTGGGCATAGTGAAGGTGGTGCTGGAGGGAGTGTGAGGGTGTTGGGGGTCTCTGAGTGCTCAGAAAGGGCATCAATCTGTCAGTGGCCTGGAAGGGGGGAGGGTTGTGGCCTTGTATGGAAGAGGGAGTTGGGCCAAGGGGGGCAACTATAAATAGTGTCTTCCTTCAGCCAAGAGGGGAGGGATGGCCAGCTGGAGCTGTCTGAGGCCCTCCCCACTCTTGCCCCTTGCCGGCCTCCACAGGGTCATGTTCATCGGGGTCACCCAGTTTGGGAAGTTTTTCATGTGGTGTGGCCTTAGTGTTTAAGCCTGTATTTCTGGGGCACCTACTGTGTGCTGGTCCTGGGCTTCTCTACACACCTACTGTGTACTTTGCCTTACTCATGAGCCTCTCTGAGCTGTTTCTTTGCACCCTGGCTGAGTCCTAAGTCACTTGGAACACCTACTGTGTGCCTTGTGCCAGGCTGGAATCAGGAAATGCAGATCAGGGCTCACAGGCTTTCTCACATGGCTGTGTAAACCCCAAGTTGGAACCTCATACTGTGAGTTCTGGACCCAGAGAGACACTGGGGACAGGTCTTGGGAACAGCCAGAGGAAGTTGGGATCCCTGGGAACTCCCCTGACCCAACAAAGCAGCATCTGATTAGGGAATAAAAAGGAAGAGGGGCAGCAGAGATCAGCAGGCCCTGCTACAGACTAGTCTGTGTATTCCTGTGCACATGCCTGGATCCAGGGCTTCTTAGTATGTGTGCTTCTGTGTGTGTCCATGTACATGCTCATGTGCATTTGTGTGGCAGGCAGTGAGGCCCCTGGATATATGCTGTTCATGGTGGCATGTTGGTCCTGCCAAGACTGAGCATAAGATAGAGAGACTAAGAAGAGTTTGAGCCCTGAGAACTGAGGGTTGAGGACTTTGATTATCCCATGGCTTCTAGCCTGGGATACTGGAAGGAGTTCTAGGTGGTCAGTGCATAGGGCACCTGAGAGCCAACCAGCGTTGGGTCAGTCAGGTTTATGGTGGAGAAAGGCTGTGCTAGCCATGTTCATACATGAGTGCACATTGTCATCCTGACACACTTCCTGTGCATGGGACAGGGTAGTTGGCACATGCCCTGAGGAGGGAAAAATCATGAGGGCTAGTTGTTCTAGTAGACATCTACTGGTGGTGGGAGAGCAGAAAGCTTGGAGGACATTTCAGTGGAAGGAGCAAGAGCCCAGGTATGGAAGTGAGAAATGTGGCAATAATGCAAAGTGTAAGCGAAGGCTGGGAACTGATCTGAGTCCTTCCTGCACTGTGGGCTGGCTCTGTTATCTTGGATTCTCCTCCCTACCTGGATCCTCAGTTTCCTACCTAAGAAATGAAGCCATGGAAGGGGAGATGGGGAATATTAGGCTCCTGGTGTTGACGTATGACTTCCTAACTGGATAGATGGACTTGGAAAGAGGTGTCTGGGTCAGCCCAGGGTCACTGCAGAAGAGTGGGAGGCATGGAGCCACAGCATTTCCTGAGAACTAGACTCAGCCTGGGTGCGGTGATGGATCTTGTCCCTTGCCCTGCCTTACTCTGCCCTGGCTACCAGCTCTTGACTAACATCCAGGAGTACTGGGGAAGAGAATGAATGGGCCTGATGAGGCGCTGGGTACCCATGGTTTAGTGATGATAGTGTCTTCAGTGACTGTAGATGTGTAGTAAGGAGGTTTCTGAGGCCAAGGTGGCCCCAAGATGACCTTGGCAGTGGCCACAAGACAAATAGGAACATAATGAGTGGCTTTGAAGAAATAGGAGCTGCTGGTGGTCACAAGAGGAAACTTGCTCATTATGAGCCATTTATGGATGTGCTCAGAGCTGTGACAGTATCTACCTCCCACCTCCCACTGAGGATGGAGGGAGGATACTGGCACATGAGAATGAGGAAGTGAACTATCCTGCTGGGGCAGGGAAGTTCCTGAAGTAGGCAGGTACAGCTGGCTCCAGGTGGGCTTCCATCATTTAAACCTTTTGAGCCTTTATTTCCTGTGTAGTGGGCAAGAGATCTCTGTCAAAGTCATCCTAAGGGTTTTTGCCAGATTCTGAAGAACTGGTTTGTGACTTTGTGAACTGACCCTAGGTAGAGATGTGTGTGTGTGGCAAGAGGGGGTGCTGCACTTACTGTGAATGAAGTTAGCCTTGGTCACTGTGTCCACAGGACACAGAGACAACTTAAAGATCCAGAGACCCTTGCCAGGGATCTGGTGGAGGACATCACTAGAGGGCAGTATGATCCAGGTTCAAACCATGTTGCTGAAGGCTGGAGCAAAAAGTATAGTTTGGAGCAGGAGGGGCTGAGCAGATAGAAGAGGACCTCACTTTCAGGAGAGTGTGGTGGTGGCCAAACGCTAGAGAGTGAGCCAGGAGTTCCTGAATTTCTGGGTCTCTTCGCCCCAAAGCATTTTCAAAGGCAGGAAGGGAGGTAGTATATTGAATGAGAACACCTACATGGTTTGGAACAGATTTCTGAGACTGACACAATCTATACCACAATCTTGTAAGATTGATGATGTTTGCATCTCATTTTCCCCAAGAAGAGACCAAAACTTATATTTTAAAATATACATAAACTTAATATTAAAATTGTAATTGGGTCCGGGGATGTAGCTCAGTTGGTAGAGTACCTGCCTGGGGCACATGAAGCCCTGGGTTCGAGTCCCAGCACTGCATAAATGGTGTATGGTGGTACACATCAGTAACCTTAGTACTTGGGAGGTGAATGATGGAGGATCCAAAGTTCAAGGTCATTCTCAGCTACATAGGGAGTTTGAGGGACAGACAGCCTGGGCTATGTGAAACCCTACTCCTTCCCCACCTCATCCCCGAAAAAGCCCAAACAACAACAAAAAAAAACTTAATTGGTAAAAAGTAAATCCTGGGACAAGAATCAAGATAACGCCAGGGCTTAGTGAACCCCCAAATAGCGTCACAAGACCGTGGTGTATTTGCTTCAGGTGGGCGGAGGCTTAGACCAATCTCTCCAGCTGCCAGGCCAGGAAACATGATCAATTTTGAGATCTGCCCTGGGTTCTTATCACTGAGATAAGGGAACTTTTTCTGCGTGGTCCAACTAGTGGCTGTGGTCCAGGGAGAGTTCCAGTGTTGGGAGCAGATGAGGCCCAGAGCAGGTCCAGGAGGGTGACTGCCAGGATACCAGGCCAGACACGTGAGCTACTCAGGGACTGAGCCAGGCTGGTCTAGGCTATCCTGGCTTTGTGGGTCGCTCAGGCCCCGCCCAGCCTCATACGCCTCTCGGTGGCCGACCCACTTTGAGGTCACGTTCTGCAGGGAGCTGGAGCCACACACGCCTTGGAGGCGGGGCTGGAGAGCCCTGGGCGGGGCCTATGTAAATAAGTACAGTCTAGTTGCGTGTGCTGAGGTCCCACATCCGGGGCGGGGCCTGCATAATCCGGGTCCCGCGCTCCTTGGGAGTCGAGCATGCGCACTTTCAGTTCTGACATCAGGGACGGGAAGCGCTTGGTCCAAAAAGAGGCTGTAGGAAAACTGGGCATGCGTAATTGGAGGCTAGGCACTCTTCAGTGTGGGTGGAGCTTAATAGTTCTGGGGCGGGCCCACGGGAAGATGGACAAGGGTTTTGACCGCTAGGGGAGGGGCGGGGCCCGAGGGGCGGGACCTCGGGTGGCCCGAGGTGGCCGGGTTGCTGGCCCAGAATCATCATCCGCTCAGTCCGATTCATCCCGGCCCGGGGATGGCGTCCCCACGGGAACTGACCCAGAATCCCCTGAAGAAGATCTGGATGCCATACAGCAATGGGCGGCCCGCTCTGCACGCCAGCCAGCGTGGTGGTGAGACAGGGTCCGCAGGGAGACAGGAGGGAGGTGCACCCGGATGGGTGGGTAGACGGCCGGGGCGGGGGTCTCGAGGAGAAGGGCCCGGAGACAGGTGGTGAAGCTGGCACGGGTGAGGCTATAGCGACGGATGGGCGGAGTCGGGACAGGTAGGAGGGTGGGGACAGGTGAGCCTCTAACAGTGGTGCTGTGACAGTGGCTGGCAGACGCTACGTGTGGCGGAACAAGCAGGGGTAGGGACAGGTGTGAGGGGACATCTCAGTTTGAAGGGGGCTGGGTCTGGCCACTCTCACCTTGAGAGGGCGCTGATCTGAACTGTTCCAAGTGCCTGAACACAGGGGAGGACTCTGTGGGCATGTTACTCCTCCCTCTCTCCTGGCCGCAGAGTGAGCATGTGGACCTGCTGGGAACTGAGCTGTGTAGCTGTAGACAAATCACTTGGCCTCTGGGAACCAAGAACTGCTGAGAACTTTGGACAGTCTAACCTTGACAGTCAACAGGAAGACAGGTGCCCCTGGACCTTAAAACCAAAGTGTGGGGAGGAACTTCCTGCAAGTACATTTGTTAGGATTGAGTCAGTGGGGACAGCACACCATATGAACACATTTTTGTGCCCATGGGTGGGTAAGCACCCACATGATTGTATGGCAAAGCATGAAACATCAAGGAGACATGCTGAAATTTGTGAATTGCTAAGTGACTCACCTCTCCTCCGATCCTGAATGTGTTAATTTACTTCCTTGAGTTTTCTGCTTGTCTTTAAATGAGTCTGCAACTTTTTTATTACCAAGGAAAAGACAAATTTGTTTTAGGAGTAATTCACATATTGTAATGCATTTTGCAGCTTGGCAAAGACCTCAAAGAACATCTAGTCCTAGGCTTTAGTGTGATGTACCAGGGTCTCCTTACATTCCTGAGCTCTGCTGTGTGTGATAAGGGAGGGGAGGGTCCTCTGGGCTTTTACTGCCAAGACCAGCCTGAGACCATGACTTTGACTGGGAAGAAGGGAGAAATGGCGGTGGGGGTGGGGAAGGTACATGGATGTATCTCTCATCACACCTTGTGTCCAGGTAGGGTTCATAAACAGACTGACTTCTGGCGGGTGGTGGCTCTTGACCACAGTACAGGCACTGGTGCATGTTCAATGACTGTGGCTACAGCTTGGCCAGCCCTCCTTAGTTGGATTCTTTTGGAGAAATGGAGGCAGAAACCCCTCCCTCTTGTACATCTTGCCTAACAGCCTGTTCAGACTGTGATTAATAATCAGAATGCTGTTATTACAGAAAGGAGTGAGGACCTAGACTTGGGAGGCAGGGACACTCAAGCCACATCCTGGACCAGTTGTGTGACCTTGGGCAAGAACTGACCCTCTAGGCCTTGGGTTGAGACTATTATTGACTTTGCCCCATGAAGTGGCTGGAAGTCTCTAATGAATGAGTGAATCCTCAGAAAGTGGAAGCAGATAATTTTCTCATCACTACTACTCAGTTTTTGTTTCCCACCACATCAGAGTCTGGGACTGAAGTGTCACTCTGAGCCAGCCCCACATTACAGGTGGGAAGGGATCAGAGACACAATGAGGAGGGGACCTGCTTGGGTATCTGCTCCCAAAGCAGGTATTTCTCCAAGCTCTAAGTGTAGAATTAAAATATAACTCTTTTGTGAATGGAGAGGCATGTCTCAGGGTCAGTGGATGTTGGAATAGTCTGGGCTGTGGGCTCACACTTCCCTGGAGTAGGAGGTGGCATCTGAGAGTCCAAAAATGTGGTTTGCAGGTGTGTGTGCTTGGGAATGGGGAACTGGGCCTCAGCCAGGGGTCCCAGAGTTCATAGTACAGGGCTGGTAAGCCTACCCATGTACCCCCACTCTGACTCTCAGGGCCTGCCCCTATGTGTCATTCTATCCTTTGCACAGTGAGCTGGGGCTAGATTGGAGAACTGCAAGGACAGTAAGATCCTAGGGGTGCTGAAAGTTGACTTGATTCACTGGGCTTTATGGGGAAGGAGGAAGCAATGCTTACTGCTGGTCAGTGCCACGCAATGGGTTTCCTCTGGTTTCTAGGCCTTAGTTTCTCAGGATACTGGGGCTGATTGACAAAGCCACATCCTCCACACTGTCCTCTACCTTCAAATACTGCAAGCAGTTAATAAAATTGGATAAATTGATAAAATTCAAGACCACACCATCATTAGCCCCTTTTAGGAGCTAATGGGGACAGGTAGAACAGGGAATGAAGAGGGGGCCCAGGAGCATGGCAAGTAGGACATTGTTTTTATTTTTGTTTTATTTTCTTGAGACTGGAGTCGCCCAGAGCAGGCCCTGGCTGGCCTGGAACTCATTATGTAGATCAAGCTGGCTTCACCCTTGTGGATGGTCCTCTTGCCTCTGCCTCCTGAGTGCTAGGATATAGTTTTTTCTGATGGCATTTTTTTTCAGCCAAAAGATGACAAGATTCCTCTTGTGTGAGAACAGGACTTGCATGTGCACAAGGCAACAGGAGAGAGTGGGACTGCCGTGCCACATTGCTTCCTTCCTTCCTTCTTTCTTTTTGTTGTTGTTGTTTTATTTTTTGTTTTTGAGACAGGGTCTCAAGACAACTATGTAGCACTGGCTGGCCTGGAACTCATTATGTAGACCAGGCTGACCTTGAGCTCATAGAGATCCGCCTGCTTCTTTCTCTTCCTCCCAAGTGCTGGGACTAAAGGCATGCATGTCCAGGCCTGGTTGTTGTTTTCTTTTTTAAAAAAATTTTCTTTGTTATTATTGTTGATCTTTTTTTGGATACAGGGTCTCCCTATAGCCCCAGCTGTCCTGGAACTTGCTATGTAGCCAGGCTGGCCTTGAACTCACAGAGATCTGCCTGCCTCTGCCTCCCGTATTATTGCTCTTTTTAAAAAAATATTTTATTTATATTTATTTTATGTGTATGCGTGTGTTGCCTGCATGTAGATAAGTGCACCCATGCCATGCAATGCCCGAGAAAGACAGAAGAGGCTGTTGGAGTTACAGTCATTAGCTGCCATGTGGGTGCTAGGATTCGAACCCAGGTCTTCTGCAAGAACAGCCAGTGTTCTCAACTGCTGAGCCATCTCTTCAGCCCCCTATTGCTTTCTTTTTAAGAGCTATTCCTCCCTCAACTTGGCCAAGGAGGTGGGAACAGCTACAGTCAATTCAGGAATCTGCTCTGGAGTATACTCCAGAACTGTGGCTACCCCTTTGGGGGAAGTATCCAGAAGTAGGTAGACAGGCACACTTGACTGCCAAGCCTGTCTCAGGCCTCTCTGCTCCTGGGGCTCCTAGGGCCTTCATCAGATATACAGGAAAGGAAACTAGAGAGGGAAGTTGGGTCAACATGTCTTCAGACTTCCTTCTGTGTGTGCGAAGTGTTACAGACAGTGTTCTGCCGTCTTGGTCCTTGTGGGCTTGTGGCTATGGCTCTGGCTGCACACTCCACCGTTGTTCCATGGCTCTCAAGGGCTGTAGTATATTCCCTCTGCATCGTGCCTTTGTTTGTAATTTCTCTACTCTTGGGATTATCTCCACATTTTGCTATTGTAAGCAGAGCTGCTAGAATGTTTTTGAACTTTGGTTTGCTTTGAGTTATTTCTTGGGAGCTTATCTTGAGGAGCAGAGGTAATTGTTAATTTATTGCTTGTTTTGTGCCCAGGCCTGATCTGCTGCTCTCAATACCCACCTTGTATATCAGTGGGAGTGGGTAAGAGGGATGCTGTCACCAAAGTCTGTGGGAGGAGGCTATGACCATAGGAGGAGGCCAAGGCCAGCTCTGGGAAAACAGGAGATGTTAAGTCCTGAATTATGAGAGCTGTTGCATGGTGTGTATATGTTAGGGGCATTATTCATCAGCAGGGGCAGGGGCAGGGGCAGTTGGATTGCCCCCAGTGAGTGATTGATAAACTTTTCTTTGAATTGCTTCAGAGCTCCTGGTCAGTCTCAACAGGAATTGTACAAACAACAGACCCCGGCAACCTACTGGCCCTGAGGAGGAGGGCCTTGCTTAACTTGTTTTCCTCTTGCCTTAGCTAATACTGAGGCTATTCTGTAAGTTTCCTCACTCTTACAGTCAGCCACGATCTATGAAGTCCCTTCCTCCTCTCCTCTGAGGTTCCCGGTTTGCATCCTATTTGCACAAAGGCCATGGGCAGGAGTGATCCTGCCTCCATATCCCTAGGTGCAGTTAGTACTTAAGTACACATGTGTCCCCAGCCTAGGGTGCTGCCAGGGTGAGGCAGAGGGCATAGATTCCCAGAAGTACTCCAGCTTTTACATGAGGAAAGTGCTAGACCATGCTCAGGAATTCTCATGCCACCTTACAGGTGAGGACAGCAAGACTCAGGGTTGCCAGAAAGTGTCAGAGTAGGGGCTGGAGAGAGATGTATTAGCAGATAAGAGCACTGGCTGCTCTTGTAGAGGACCTGGGTGTGATTCCCAGAACCCACATGGCAGCTAATAATTGTCTGTAACTCCAATTCCAGGGATCTGACACCCTCTTCTGACCTCTGGGGGCACTGCAAGACACAAGTGCACTTATATACATGCAGGTATTACACTCAAATACATAAAATAAAATAAGATAATAAGCTGGGTGTGGTGGTGCACGTCTTTAATCCCAGCACTCCGGAGGCAGAGGCAGGTGAATCTCTGTGAGTTCAAGGCCAGCCTGGTCTACATAGCGAGTTCCAGTCCAGCTGAGGCTACAGGGAGACCCTGTCTCAAAAAGATGGAAAAAAAAAAAAAAAGAAAGAAAGACAGTGTTAGAGTCAAGATAGGAACCAGACTGGTCTGACTCCTGACCCCAGGAAGAGCTGTCCCTAGGGTCTCTGTATTCTAAGAGAGATAGCCAAGGGGTTCCTGGTAGTCTGTCACTTGGCTACCAAGTAGAGCTCTTGCAGAGCCAAGTGCACAGAGGAGAGGCAGTGACAGTTCCCCCACATCTGCTTACCAGTCTATGGTTTTACTGCTCTGGTCATTTGGATTGTGGAAAGGAAGTTTTCAGAAACTTCTGAGATGAGACCACATTTGGCCTCTTTGGAAGGTGAGTTGGGTCACAGGCTGGCAGTCCTGCTACTTTGGTGTCCGTCCTAGCCAGCCGAGGCTCAGGGACCTGCAGAGGTCTGCCCCTACCTCCAGCCTTGGCAACTTCTCTGGTTGACACACTGACATGGTAGTATGTGGGATGGTGGTGAGCAGGCTATCAGGAGGACTGTCATTGTAGGTTTTGGTCTGGGTCTCAGTCTTTTGTGGTCCTCACCCTGATGTACTTCTAGATGTCTCCCTGCTCATAGTTCCTGAACATCAACACTGCAGGACTGCTTCAAGTGATCAAGTCCAGAGACCACAGAGTCATTAGTGAGGTGACCAGGTTGAAGGTGAAGGTGCCCCAGGTGTACATAGAGGTGGCTGGAGAAAAGGCTCATTGAAGGGAGAGCTTTTGAGCCAAGTTTTTAAATTTTTTTATGTGTATGAATCCTATGTCTGCATGTGTGTAAGTGCACCTGTGTCACGCAGTGCCTGAGGATGGCAGAAGAAGGCATTAGATCCCCTGGAACCATAGTTACGGACAGTTGTTAGCCACCATGTGGGTGCTGGGAACTGAACCCGGGCCTTCTACAAGAACAGCCAGTAATCTTAACCATTGGGCCATCTCTCTAGCCCTTGAACCAATTTTTAGGAGAAAAAGAAATTCACCACAAAGGACACCACAGTGAGACTGGAATGCAGAATGATGATTGGGATGGTAGATGTGTGGAGATTAGAGTACAGATTCCCCGATGGAAGAGGCAGGCATTGAATATCCTACCAGGTTTTGGCTGTATCCTTTGGGCAGTGGGTAGATCACTAGCAGTGTTTAACTGTTGGCCTGGCTGGTTGAGATGTATATATGCTGGTGTACTTAGGGGTGAAAAGGGCTGGTAAGGTTCTTTTGCATCAGCCAGAGCCCAGACAGCCCTGGGAATTGAGGACCTCTCAGCCTGAGACTGGATCTGGGGGTACCCAGAGATTTGCCTGATACCTCTGAAGCCAGGAAGGTACAGCTGGTGCCAGTCCTGTGCCCTGAGGCTGATACAACAGAAGAGCTGGATTCCAGCAGTGTGTGACACTGTGGTTATATCAAGTTACTTTTCTTGTTGCTGTAACAAAATACCTAGCAAAGCAACTTCAGGAAGTGTTTATTGTGGCTCACAGTTTGAGGATACCGTTGCTCATGGCAGGAAAGTCATGGTGGCCAGAGCCTGTGGCAGCTGGTGACCCTGCATCCATAGCCAGAAAGCAGAGAGGTGAATGCTGGTTCTCTGCTCGCTTTCTTCTTTTTTCAGTCAGGACCCCAGCCCATGAATGGTGCTGCCCACATTTACAGTGGGTCTTCCCACCTCAATTAACATATCTAGAAATTTCCTCACAGACATGCCCAGAGATTTATTTCCACGGGTAATTCTAAATCTCTTCAAGTTAATGATCAAGATTAACCATCACAGTGCTGCTTGCTTTCCAGTTTGCATGACCAACTGCCCGACGCTCATTGTCATGGTGGGCCTGCCTGCCAGGGGCAAGACCTACATTTCCAAGAAGCTGACCCGGTACCTCAATTGGATTGGTGTGCCCACTCGGGGTGAGGCTTCAGTGGGATCCTGGGGACTGGTAAGGGAGGAGAAAGAAAAGAAAAGGCTGGGTGTTGGGCAGAGCCGAGGGAAGGGTCCTGGTCAGGGGTTGCTAGGGTTGTTGTGAAAGCTGAACTTCTCCTTCCCCCAGAATTCAACGTGGGCCAGTATCGCCGGGAAATGGTCAAGACGTACAAATCTTTTGAGTTTTTCCTCCCAGACAATGAAGAGGGCCTGAAAATCAGGAAGTAAGTGTGGCAAGGGTTGGGGTGGGGCATCACTATGGAGAAGGTGGGCAAGTTACTATCCATTTGCTAAAAAGCCTGCCACCCCAAACCTTTGGAGCCGAGTTGCTGGCAAATGCTGGAGCTGCTCCTGAGCCCCTGATGCTGTGTGACATGGCTGGCTTCTTAACCTCTCAGGTTGTGGAAAGGTTGCCATATGATGGGTTAGGCATGACAGGAGAAGTATGCAGCCTCCTGATGGCTGGCCTATCCCTGCCATGATATTAAGGACCTTTGGTTAAGGACCTATAGGAAGGGAGAGAACAGGCTTAGGGCCATTGTATAGTGTAGAGGTCCTGCTTGCCGACTCTAGGCCATCCTAGAGGATGCAGGCCACGGGCTAGAGCAGAGGTCTTTCCTCTTCTGCCCCAGGATAGGTACTCTCATAAGTAGTGGAATGTTTGCCATGTGCTTGGCTTGTTCTTGGCATGTACCAGCTAGGCCTTGGCTTTACTCTGAAGTGGCCTGGATGCTATGGGGTGAGTAGTTCATAAGAGAAATTTGCACATGATCTCAGCCCCCTCCCAGTTCAGACTTGGACTTTCTCTAAGGCTGGTAGTCTGAGGAGTGATGCTGTGCTGTTCTTGCAAGGGGTTGGTGGGTGATCAACAAGTCCTAGTCTAGTTTCATTTCTGTTGCTGAGATAAAGTACCCTGACAAAAAGCAACTTATGGGAGACAGGGTTTATTTGGCTTACAATTTGGAACTCAAAGCAGTAATCATATCCACAGTCCAGAACAGAGAATGAATACTCAGCTTGCTTTTTTACTCTTATACAATTCAGGGCCCAGGCCATGAATGGTGAGTCTTCCCACCTCAATTAACCCAATTAAGAAAAATCCTGCACAGGCATGCCCACAGGCTAACCTGAGCTCAGCAGTCCTTTATTGAGACTTTCTTTTCAGTGAGTCTACATTGTGTTGACAGTTAAAACTAGCCATCACAAGTCCTTTGTTAGCCTAGGGTAGTAGAGACTTGCTCTGGCCTTAGCCATCATGGTAGGACTGTACCAGAAGTTGGCCTAGCTCTAGTGGCCTCCTCAAATCAAGTACAGTCTCAGGGTAGGCTTCTCTGTGCTGACCTGGAGCATCCACCAAAGCCACTAGGTGATGTATTTCTTCTCTGGCCACCAGGGGGCAGGAGCTCCCCACTGTTCTGCAGGCTTGAACCTGCTGCCTTTGCTCTTGTATCATAGGGGCTGGGCTATGGATTGTTATCTACTGTGTGCTGAGTGCTTGATATCCAGTGTCCCTAGTTTGAAGATAAGGAAGCTGAGGCTCAAAGAGTCCAGGAGTCTCACACACAATAGCAAGTTACTTCACAGTTGAAGTTCTAAGTAGTTTTGAATGTAAGCCTATTTACCACTAAAAATACAGCTGGATGTGGTGGTACATGCCTGCAATCCCAGCACTTGGTAGGTGAAGGGAGGAAGATCAGTAATTCAAGTTTGACCTCCATTATATAGTTCAAGTTCAGTCTCGTCTTTAGAGCCCCTGTGTCAAAAGACCAAACACAGGGGCTGGAGAGATGGGTCAGAGGTTAAGAGTACTTGCTGCTCTTCCAGAGGATAAAAACTTAGATCCCAGCCTCTATGTCAGGTAGCTTACAACTGCCTGTAACTCCAGCTCCAGGAGATCCAACACCCTCTTCTTGGTCTCTGCAGATAGACAGGCACACATATACATAAATAAAAATAAATCTTGCTGGAGAGATGGCTCAGCAGTTAAGGTTCGATTCCCAGCACCCACATGGCGGCTACGAACCATCCTTAACTCCAGTTCCAGGGGAATCTGAAGCCCTCTTCTGACCTCCGCAGCATTGCACGACAGGGGTGCACTCACATACATGCATGCAATATACTCATACACACAAAATAAAAATAATAAAATATTAAAAAAAAAAAAAGCCGGGCATGGTGGTGCATGCCTGTAGTCCCAACACTTAGGAGGCAGAGGCAGGGGATCTCTGTGAGTTCAAGGCCAGCTTGGTCTACATAGTGAGTTCCAGGACAGCCGGGGCTACAGGGAGACCCTGTTTGAAAAAAGACCAAAAAAAAATCTTAAAAATAAAAAGACTGGTGCTGGAGAGATGACTCAGCAGTTAAAAGCAGTGGCTGCTCTTGCAGAGGACCCAGGTTTGGTTCCCAGCACCGCATGGCAGGTAGCAGCTGTCAGTAACTCCAGTTCTAGGGGTCTCTGCTGGCCTTCACACGTTTGCACACATGGTGGGTGTACTTACCTATTTAGCCAAATAAACCCTGTCCCCCATAAGTTGCTTTTTGTCAGGGTGCTTTATCTTAGCAACAGAAATGAAACTAGACTAGGACTTGTTGATCACCCACCAACCCCTTGCAAGAACAGCACAGCATCACTCCTCAGACCACCAACCTTAGAGAAAGTGTAAGTCTGAATTGGGAGGAGGTGGAGGTCATACAAATTTCTGTCTCCTGAGAACTAGTCACTCCACAGCATCCAGGCCACTTCAGACACATACAGGCAAAGCACTCATACACATAAAAATAAAGACCAAAACCAAACCAAAAAAACACTTGACAATCACTCAAACATTACACAGTGGGTCAAAGAACATATCAAGTGCAAAATCTAAAGCAACACCAAGGTGTGGGCACTGCTAGACAAGCTCATTTCATCAGTGTGGGTGCCTGGCTTTCTTAGATATGGAGTCTGAGGTTAGAAAGTGATAGTACTGTTTGGGGTCTTTCAGTTTGAATTTGAAGCCAGACCTGTGTGACTGTAGTGTGTATGCACTCCTGGTCTACCAGCCATTCCACTTAGACTGCCCTTGAAAGGCCAGAATTTGGAGAGTAATTTACCCTATGACAGAAGCTGGGGGCAAGTTCATATATATGTGTGCACACAGGCTCCCCAGCTGTTCTCTCAGTACCTCCTTTGGGGCCCTGAGATCCCTCCAACACCATAGAGCCACAATCAGAACAGGCCACACAAGATCTTAGCCCAGAACATGGTGATCCAGTGATGGCTCAGTGGTTAAGAGCACTGGCTGCTCTTACAGAGACTGAGGTTCTGTTCCCAGCACCCACATGGCGGCTAGCAGTCATCTGTAACTCCAGTTCCAGGGGATCTAATGCCCTTTTCTGGACTCCATAGGTACTCCATGCACATGGTGCACAAACACACATGCAGGCAAAACACTTATACACATAAAATAAAAATAAATAGGGCCAGGCATAGTGGTACATGCCTTTAGTCTCAGCACTTGGTAGGTAGAGGCAGGTGGAGGTCAAGGCCATTCTAGTTTAGGTGATATGTTCCAGGCCAGCTTGGGCTACAGGGAGACCTGGTCTCCAAAAGCAAAAAACAACCAAATATCAAAATAAAATTTAAAGGAAAAAAAAATGACCAGAAATTCCTGTTTTCTACATACTCAGAATTCAGAGTTCTTGGCAAAAGAAAGCACTTTTTTTTTTTTTTTTTCTTTTTGAGACAGGGTCTCCTTGTAGCCCCAGCTGTCCTGGAACTCACTAGGTAGACCAGGCTGGCCTCGAACTCACAAAGATACGCCTGCCTCTGCCTCCCAAGTGCTGGGATTAAAGGCATGCACCACCATGCCTGGCAAGAAAGCACTTTTTAAAAAAAAGTTTTATTTATTTTTTTATTTGTGTGTGTGTGTGTGTGTGTGTGTGTGTGTGTGTGTGTGTGTGTGTGCGTGTGTGTGTGTCTGCATGCCAGAAGAGGACGTTTGATCCCCTGGAGCTGGAATTGCAGGTTGTGAACCACTTGATATGGGTGCTGGGAACTGAACTCAGGCTCTCCACTGAGCTATCTCTCCAACTCCCAGAAGAAAGAACTTTGAGGTTTTAATTGAAAGACCTATTGGGGCACAGAAGGACATTACAGGGCTGCACTGTGCTCTGAAGCATGCATGTGCCTCCAGATTGTAGGCACAGCAGCCTCATGAGAGTCTCTGCAGCATAGTCCTTTGATTTTGACATGCTCAGAGTTTACATGCACGTTCCAGTAATCACAGAGGGGAGGACATCTAGCTTTATTTACTCTTATGTCAGTAAGCAAAGGTAGGCCAGGGGTAATAAGACTACTTGCCTGGTATGTGTGAGGCCCTGGGTTCCATCTCCAGCACTATTTTTTTTTTTAATGAGGCAGGGGTAATAGTTAAAAAGTAAAAGTAAGTGGGGTGTGGTGGTACAATCTTTTCATCTTTTATGCTAGCACTCAGGAGGCAGAGGCAGGTGGATCTCTGTGAGTTTCAGGCCAGCCAGTGCTACATAGTGAGACTGTCTTAAAAAACAAAAAGCAAGGGGCTGGAGAGATGGCTCAGCAGCTAAGACCACCGACTGCTCTTGCAGAGGACCTAGGTTCTGTTCCCAGTGCCCACATGGCAACTAACAACTGTCTGTAACTATAATTCCAGGGGATTCAATGCCCTCTTCTGACCTCTGTGGGTGTTTCACGATATGGGTTCACTTACATACATGCAGGAAATACACTCATGCACATAAAAAATAAAAATACTAAGCACTTGGGAGGCAGAGGCAGCTGGATCTCTGTGAGTTCAAGGCCAGCCTGGTCTACACAGTGAGTTCCAGACCAGCTAGGGATACAGGGAGACCCTGTCTCAAAAAGATCCCCCCCCCAAAAAAAAATATATATATAAAGAAAAAGAAAAGTAAACATTAAGCCTAATGCTGCCTTTGTGCTCCTTTGTGCCTCTAGCCAGGGACACTCAAGTACAAGAGAACATCTGATTTTAAAAGCACCTCTTGATGGTCACAGGAAATGCATGGCATTAAAGTGGTGTCACAGTGAGACAGTGAGGGAAAATTCAGAAAAGTGGTATTTAAAAGAAGTCCTTGGAGGCAGAGGCAGATGATCTCTATGAATTTGAGGTCAACCTGGACTACATAGTGAGTTTCAGGCTACTTGGGGCTACAGAGAGACCCTGTCTCAAAACAAAGTCCTGATGCCCCAGGAACATGTAGCCTTCCATCTTATGAAAGCCAGATACTGAAAATTATCTCAAGGAAATAGGAAACCTTGAAAAGAGAGAAAAGCAAAGGGCTGACTCTGTGTTTTCCCTCCTGCAGGCAGTGTGCCCTGGCAGCCCTCTGTGACGTCCGAAAGTTCCTCAGTGAGGAGGGTGGACATGTGGCGGTGAGTGTGACACCTTAATGACAGTTGAGAGTGATGTGGGATCTCCCCACCCCATCTACCTTTTTAAAAAAATATATTTTATTTATTATTTTTATTTTATGTGTATGTGTGTATTACCCGCATGTATGTAAGTGCACCACATGTATGCAATGCCTGCAGAGGCCAAAAAAGGGTGTGGGATCCCCTGGTACTGTAGTTACACTGGTGTTTTTGTTAGCTGCCATGTAAGAATCAAACCTGGTCCTCCGGAAGGACAGCAAGTGTTCTGACCCACTAAGCCATCTCTCCAGCCCCCCACCTGTGCTACCCTTTGCTCATCAAATACCTGGAAGGGAGGGCAGGATGTGAATGCCCATGAATGTGGTGGGGTGCCAGCTGGGGGAGGAACGTGGGCAGCAGCTATGCTGGAGCAAGCCAGAGGCTCCTGGAAGTGGACCAGCAACATTCCTGTCTTTCACATGTGTGATTTCTCCTGAAATAGGGAGTCTTGCCAAATTTACTGGTATTCTAGGAAAGCTTGGTGAGGGAACTCCACCAGGGTGGTAGCCCCTGCATTCAGATGAAGTGTGGGACCAGGCAGAGCTGGGCTCCTAGCTGTGGGAAGGGTTCTAGCCCAGCCCTGTGCCCTCAAACATGGTAGCTGTTGTTCTCTCCAACTTTTCTCATGGAGTCCATTCTCCTGAAGTCCTCTGTCCCAAGTTCCAATCAGGATCAGTTGCCTGTGGCACTGTCATCACAGTGTGAGCTCCTTTCTCCTCTCTGCATGAAGCCTGGGATTTGACCTCCAGTACCCCATAAACTGGGTATGGTGATACTCGCCTGTAATCCTGATACTGTGGAGGTAGGTCTTTTTGAGACAGAGTCTCCCTGTAGCCCCAGTTGTCCTGGAACTCACTATGTAGACCAGGCTGGCCTTAAACTCACAGAGATCTGCCTGCCTCTGCTTCCCGAGTGCTGGGATTAATGGTGTGTGCCACCACGTCTGGCTCATCCTTGGCTTTATAGGGAGTTCAAGGCCAACTTAGTATACATGAAACCCTATTGAGACAGAAAGAGGGAGACAAAGACAGAGACAGAGACAGAGACAGAGAGAGGAGGTGCTTGGGAAGTGCTTGCATAGAGGAAATGTCTTTTCGTAATCCATGCATTTGATAGTTGGGTATAGGATTTTAGGTAGGAAGAACTTTGCCCTTAGATCTCCTTCTTGCTCTTTTGGCTGATGGTTTTTAGCCCAGACCACAGAGAAGATTGATATCTTTGATTTATTTCCTAAGTTTCATCTATTAGGGAAGCTGGGCTTCCACTTGGGAGACCTTTAAGGGTCTTCCAGGTGATGCGCCTTATGCTGGGCTCTCTCTCCTCCACAGGCTGGGTCTTCCCTCCTTCATGGGCTGTGTTCTGGGGGGATTGAGGGGAGCCTTGTCACAGGGAAGCTTCCTTTCCCAGATACGGAAATTACCATGCATTGTTTCTTTGTTAAACCACTTCCACCACTTTCTGGCAACTCTGTCTCCCTCCCCTTCCCATTTTCTGCTTTTTCTAGAATTCCTGGTGGCCAAATGCTAGGCTTGATCCCTAATTTTATGTTTTTTCTCTATTTGTTTGTTTGCTTCTTTATTTTATGTGTATAAGTGTTTTGCCTGCATGTATGTAAGTGCACCCATGTCATGTAATGCCTATAGAGACCAGACGAGGGTGTCATTTCCTGGAACTCAAATTAAGAACTGTTATTAGCTGCCATGTGGGTGCTAGGAACTGAACCTTGGTTCTCTAGAAGAACAGCCAATACTCTTAACCACCGAGCCATTGTTTGAGGGAGACTTTAATATTTCCATACATATACATATTTATGTTTATTTATATATATATGTATATATATATATATATTTTGCTGGGTGTGGTGGCACACACCTTTAATCCCAGCACTCTGTGAGTTCAAGGCCAGTCCAGTCTACATAGCAAGCTACAGGCTAGCTGGAACTATAGGGGGACCCTGTCTGAAAAAGACAAATTTTCTTTTTTGGTGACGGGGTCTTATTATGTAGTCCCAGCTAATGTGGTATTTGCTATATAGACCAGAGTGGCCTTGAATTCACAGAGATCCAGTTGCCTTTGCCTCCCAAGTGCTGAGATTAAAGGCATGCCCAACCAGACTAGACTAAAATTTTTTAATATTTATTATTATTTAATATTTATTATTTTTTTAATATTTATTTTCTTTGTGTGCGCATACTACAGCACACATAGGGGGTCAGAGGACAACTTACAGGAGTTGGTTCTCTCCTACCATGTGGGTCCCAGAAACTGAATTCAGATTGTCTGGCTTGGCAGCAAGTGCTCTTACCTGCTGAGTCATTTTGCCCTCCCTTCCTCAACATTTTCTTTTCAGTATTTTTTTTAAATTTTAGTGATCAGACTTTAATTTCTCATTCTCTGACTGTCCAATTCTTAGAGCTCTGTTCTTGATTCTTTATATATATACAGCATGGTCCATGGTGATGAGGGCTGAATGTTGAATCTCTTTTTGGGTAATAATTGTAAGGATTTTTTTTTCTGATTTTTCTTTCTACAACTTCCTTTTTTTCTATTTAACTAACTTAGTCTGTTTTCCTTCTAAAAGGTGTTGCTGGAGTGTCCAGTGATCCCTGTTTGGATGTGCCTTTTTTGTAGTGTGTGTGTGTGTGTGTGTGTGTGTGTTCTCCACGTGTGAGTGCTCAGGTGCCCATAAGGAGATCAGAGGAAGGTGTTGGGTGTTTTCCTCTATCCTGCCTGCCTTATTCCCTTGAGACAGGATCTCTTACAGAAGATCACAGTTTAGCTAGTTGCCTGGCCAGCCAGTCCCAAGATCTGCCTGTCTTCATCCTCCAATGCTGGGGTTACAGGCACAAGCAACCATGCTCAGCTTTTTACGAGTGCTACGGATTTGAACTCAGGTTCTTCTGCTTGTACAAATGCTCTTACTCATAGAGCCACTTTCCCTGCTCTCTGTATGCGCCTTTAAAAAGTGATGCTATAGGACTGAGGGTGCAGCTCAGGGGGTAAAGTGCTTGTCTAGCACGTGAAGGAAAGCCCTGGGTTCAATTACGAGCACTGAAAAAAAAAGTATGCTGTGTAAAGGCTTCTGGTACATGCCACTGGGTGGGCTGCACCAGAGGGTGTTCAGGCAGGGCCCAGGACAGGGAACCCCCATTGTCAATGTCAGGCTGGATGCAGTGAGGAGAGGGCTTAGGGCTCCAACTCTTCTGTGTTGGACCTCAAGCTAGTCTTCCCATTTCCTCTCCACACTTGTCGCTCGATTTTTCTAGAATTGCAGTCCCACACATGTGGGTGTGCTGTGGCTGGTGAGTACTTACATTTGATTTTCTTCATTTCTCTTAGTTACCAGGTATCTCCATCTTACAACATTTTGTTGGCATCAGTGTTTCCTGCTCTCTCCCCTTTACTGTCTTTACCTTTCTCTTCCCATTTTACTTGGGGTGAAGTAGGAATATGTAGGTTCAGTTCACTAGATTTATTAGTCTGTTTTCATTACTATAATAAAATACTTGAGGCAGATTAACTTTTTTTGTTTTTTGTTTGTTTTTTTGTTTTGTTTTGTTTTTTGAGACAGGGTCTCACTACATAGCCCTTGCTGGCCTGGAACTCACTACATAGACCACCAGACTGTCCTCAAACTCACAGATCCACCTGCCTCTTCTACCTCCTAGGGGCTGGGACTAAAGGGATGCACCATCACACCTGTCCAAGGCAGATTAACTTATTTTCATAAAGAAAAGAGGTTTGGGGGCTGAAGAGATGGTTCAGTAGTTAAGAGCTCTTACTGCTCTTGCAGAAGACCGGGGTTGGGTTCCCAATACCCACATGATGGCTCACAACCACCTATAACTCCAGTTCCAGGGATCCGATGCACACTTTCTGACTTCAGTGGGCTCCTGTGTGCATGTGGTGCATATATATACATTTAGGCATGTTCACATACACATAAAAATAAAATAAATAAGTACATAAATCTAAGGAAAAGAGGTTTAGCTGACCAGTTGGCTCAGTGGTAAAAGGCCCTTGCCACCAAACTGGATGACTTGAATTTGATCCCTGGGATCAATATGGTAGAAGGAACGAACTCAATGCCTCCAAGTTGTCCTATGACCTCCACACACATGCCATGGATGTGTGTGCATATACACACACATACACACACACACACACACATACACACATACACACACACAATAAATGTAATTTAAAAAAATGTTTAAAAGCTGGGCGTGGTGGCGCACACTTGTAGTCCCAGCACTTGGGAGGCAGAGGCAGGCGGATCTCTGTGAGTTCGAGGCCAGCCTGGTCTACATAGCGAGTTCCAGGCCAGCTGGGGCTACAGGAGACCCTGTCTCAAAAAGATCAAAAGAAAAAAAAAGTTTAAAAAAAGAGAAGAGGTTTGTTGCTGGATATGGTAGCACACACCCATCATTCCAGCACTTGAGAAACAGAAGCAGAAGGGTTGCTGCATATCTGAGGCAGTTCTGTGCTACTCAGTGAGCTTAAAGCCAGCCTGGACTACACAGTGTGACCCTGTCTTAACCCCTCACAGGGGAGGTTGATTTAGCTTACAGTTTTGGAGGCTGAAAGTTCAAGATTGGGCAGCCCCATTACCCCATGGATTTGGCCTTTGATGAGGGCCTAAGGGCATCATGGTAGGAGCCCGAGGGAAGATGAGATCACATCTGTGAAGCCACAGAGCTGGGTATGCCAGACTTCCTGTTCCTATAACAACACTTTATTTACTTATTTACTTATAGATAGGGTTTTCCTATGTAGCTCTGGCTGGTCTAGAGCTCACTATGTAGTCCAAGCTGGCTTTGAATTCAGAGAAATCTATGCCTGCCTCTGCCTCCCAAGTACTGGGATTAAAGGCGTGTGCTACCACACCCAATTATAACTCTTGGGAGAACTTGAACAGGAACCTTAGGGTACCAAACATATCCCAACTACAGTACCAAGCTTTAACTAGTTTTGCTGGAATTCCTGCTGGTCACACACGAACTGAGCACCTGCTATGTGCAGACCATTGTTGAGTGTGTTCTTGTGTGTAAATCTACTGGAGACTGGCCAGGCTGATGGTGTGGACAGCAGCTAGTCCTGGCAAGAAGCCAGTCCCCAGAGATGCAGGTGCTGCCGCCCTCTGGTGGCCTTCTACTTTCCCCAGGGCTGGGGTCTGAGCTTACAACCCAGTTTGGTCCTAGGTTTTTGATGCAACCAATACCACCCGAGAACGGAGAGCAACCATCTTTAACTTTGGGGAGCAGAATGGCTACAAGGTAAGGTCACCTTTCTCCTCTTCTTGGTTGGGTTGTGGCATATCTGGGCCCTCTGGGGCTCCTTTCTCAGCCTCCTGATGCATTTGGGCTTTCGGCAGTATGATCGCTTGAGTGTGATCTGTGATAGAGGGGCCGTTCTGTCCTCTCCTCCTGGAGCTTTCTTTCTAGGGAGAGAGGAGGTTGTAGTGGGAGAGTGCAGGGTGCAGTAACACCCCCTTCAGCTACATGACCCTGGCACTGCCCCCAGCCCTAAGAAGAAGGGCCTTGGGGGCCAGGCTGCAAGTCAGCATGGCTGTGGGAAGAGGGGAGAGCGCTTGGGTGGAGCCCAGTGCACTGACCATGTTTGTGGTTCTGTCTCTCCTTCCCTTCCTGGTAACCTCTGCTTCTTGCCATAGACCTTCTTTGTTGAATCTGTCTGTGTGGATCCTGAGGTCATAGCTGCCAACATTGTGGTAAGTGTTACTTCTGGCTTCCATGAGGGCAGTAATGAAACAGGGTGCCATGTGACAGTGAGGCCTCCCTCCAGGTTTATGCTGATGCCTGGACTGACCTTCAACTCGACCTGAACTTTGTGAGAGTGGAGAGGCCAATGAGCCTGGAGTCCTGAGGACCTCCTGTGTGGGGGTCTTCGTTCTCCCTCCTTTCTCATTTCTTCTCTCTCCCTTCCTTTCTTTGGTGGTACATGGACAGCGGAAGAACTTCAGCAAGGGGTGGGCTGGCTGTGTTTCTATCTGAGACTCAGACTTGCTCACTTCTTCCACTTCTATCTCCCCCTTCTTGATTATCTAAGGAATGGCCATGTGGGTTTCAGAGCTAATTCAGGGTAGAGAAAGAACAGAATCTTAGATCTCCCCCTTGGCCACAAGATGAGGAACTTGGATCTCAGGGGACTAGTGTACACACTCAAACTAAGGAGCTGCTGGATTCTTCCTGATGGGAAGCAGTCCCCTGATCAGCTTCCAGTCTCAGGCCCCCAGCCCTAGCGTGGCTTGGCCCAGCCTTCCTGACTCCTGCCCAGCCATGCCCTTGCTTTCTGCCTCTACTTGGCCTCCAGCCCTCATGTGCCCTTGCTCTGTACCTGACTCTGGCAGCAAGTGAAGCTGGGCAGCCCTGACTATGTCAACCGGGACAGTGACGAGGCCACTGAGGACTTCATGAGGCGCATTGAGTGCTATGAGAACTCCTACGAGTCGCTGGATGAAGACCTGGACAGGTGAGTGAGAAAGTGCAGCATGGAGGATGGCTGGGTGGTGGCAGTCCACTTGACTGTGCCTGTGTGGCTCCCCGTGGTGGTGGTCTGTGTGGCTCCCCATGGTGGTGGCCTGTGTGGCTCCCTGTGGTGGTGGCCTGTGTGGCTCCCCATGGTGATGGCTGGGGGAAGCATACCAAAAGGCAGGGATGGTCTGATCTGTTTTGGTTTTTCCCTTGGGGCAGAAGTCATTGTCCAGAGGTAACGATTTACAGAACACTTATTGCCTCATCTGGAGCTCTGCAAGTCAGGACTTTCTCCTATCCCATCATAATATCAAGCCTAATTTCTATGCAGAGGCTCTTCCCAAAAGGCATTAGCATGCTCTTCTTCAATGTGGAGCTGGGGAAGGGGCAGGCAGTGGCCAGTGCTTATCAGTTGTTGGCTCTACCTGCAAGGGGTGTCTAGGTGAGGGTCCTGCATTTTCAGTCAAAGGTCAGATAGTAGTTTATTTCAGTCTTTGGAGGATTCAGTCTGTTGCTGTTACTGATTCTGCCATTGTACTGCAAAAGAAACTGTGTAAATAAACGAGCATGGGTGTGTTCTAATAAAATTGTAAAAACAGCCTGTGGGTAGCATTTGAGTTGTTGGGAGTAGCTTGCCAACCCCTGCCTCTCAGCATAAACTTAACCAGTAGTGGTGAAGTAAATAGCAGTTCAGCCCTTGGTGAAGCCCTGACAGTCTCCAAAAATCATAATTATGAAGGGACATGGGAGAGTGTGGGTCGCACAGCATTAAGTGAAAGACTGGAATATAAATATGTATCCAGGTGTTTGTAACTACCTAAGAATATATAATGCATACGAACAGAGGAACACAAATAGCTGTTTGAGGGATAGCTTCTGGGGTGCTTATAGATCCTGGCCATAGACTGGCACCCCTCCTCCCTCTGCAGGATTTTGCAGTCAGCCTGGGGTAGACTGGAGCTGAATGGCACTCAGGCCTCTCCCTGTGTGGCTTCTGTATTTCCCTTGGTCTCACCATTGTCCTGCACTAGCAGGGCTCATCCAGAGAAACTCCTGTTACACTTGTCAGTAAGTGTTGCTCCTGTTTCTATTGGCAGTATTGGAGTAACACCCTACATGGAGACTCATGGTCCTTCCACACAGTGAGAACTCAATTTAGATATCTAGGGCTCCCTCAGCTACGTCACAGCCCATCCCACCCCTGCCTACATAAGCACGTTCTCTAAGCTAAGAAAATGGCTGAGCTGAGTTTGTTGATTGCTGTTGCCAGCACCTCTCCATATGCTTCTTGTCTACTGACTGCCTGGTGGGGAGGGTGGCAGCTGCTTGGCACACATAGATGACCTAGACTGTATTCTTGGGAGAAGGGGGAAGGAAAGCTGACCCGGCAGTGTTGGGGAATGGAGTGTTTTCCAGCCACTCCAGGTCAATCCTGAGGAAAGCTGTCTGTTGGTTCCGCTTACAGTCAGCGCTCAGAGGGTGGCAACAAGGGGTCTGGGGACACACTAGCAACAGTAAAAGTCATGACATGATTTGATTAACCTCTGCTCTAGATGTCACCTTTGAAGCATGATGAGTGTTGAACCCCTCACATGCTTGTCTGTGTGTCATGGTGGCTGCCTCACTCCCATTCACTTGCACTTTAGCTGACCGTTGTGTGTGTTGTGATCTCAAGGCTGGTGGTCAGAGTTTCAAGCCTTGCAACCATTCCTGTGGCTGTCAGCTATGCTGCCAAGGGCCCTGGTCACCCTCATAAGCTCTTTCTACCTTCTCTCTGGAAAGGGATCTATCCTATATCAAGATCATGGATGTGGGACAGAGCTACGTGGTGAACCGTGTAGCTGACCACATCCAGAGCCGAATTGTGTATTACCTCATGAACATCCATGTGACTCCCCGCTCCATCTACCTCTGCCGGCATGGGGAGAGCGAGCTCAACCTCAAGGGCCGGATTGGCGGGGACCCAGGACTATCTCCCCGGGGCAGGGAGGTCAGTGTGTGTGTGTGTGTGTGTGTGTGTGTGTGTGTGTGTGTGTGTGTGTATGTGTTTTTGTGTGCACTGGACTTGGGCTTTTGTAGCTGATGTGCACTTGAGGTGAATGGCCTTTATTCAATCTAGAAGGTTGCTACTTTGTAGGGAAGATCATAGGCACCAAGCAGATGCCAAACAGTTGAGGCTTTTCCTGGCCCATGCTAGCCTGAGTACCAACAGGGTAACTAATGCTGTACCACAGATCAGGGGTGGGCCAAGGGGTAGGGGGGATATTGAGGCCTTGAGGTAGCCACATGGCCTTGGTGTAATGAACTATAGTGGGGAGGCCTGACAAATCACACTGAGCCTGCTCTCAGGGCCTGAGTCTAGGAATGCACAAGAACAGCACTTGTGGGTGTGCATCATTGGGAGTTAGTGTTATTTTTTTTAAAACTAAACTTGTTTCCTGAGGCGTGAGGGGGTACCCTGTGGAGCTCATGCTGTGGGGTCCTTTGAAGGCAACCCAGGACCTGTGGGGCTGAATATACTGTGATATGTTTCAGTTTGCCAAGAGTCTGGCTCAGTTCATCAGTGATCAGAACATCAAGGACCTGAAGGTCTGGACGAGCCAGATGAAGAGGACAATCCAGACGGCAGAGTCGCTAGGTGTGCCCTACGAGCAGTGGAAGGTCCTCAATGAGATTGATGCGGTAATTCCCTTCCTGGGCCAGCCTAAGGACTAGGGAGAAGACCCTCCATAGCTTGTGCTGTGTATGGTCTAGAGAATGGGCTATGATAGTCATACTTTCCTGAGTTTGAAAAAATATTTATTTATGTCGGGCGTGGTGGCACATGCCTTTAATCCCAGCACTTGGGAGGCAGAGGCAGATGGATCTCTGTGAGTTTGAGGCCAGCCTGGTCTACACAGTGAGTTCCAGGCCAGTTGGAAATACAGGGAGACCCTTACCCAAAAAGACCAAAAAAATTACTTATTTATGTATTTATGTATTTATTTAATTTTGTGTGTGTGTGTGCATTTATATATGCATGAGAATGTCACATGGATGTATGGAGGTCAAAGAACAATTTACAGGAAGTTGGTTTTCTCCTTCCACAATGGGGTCCTGGGGGATCAAACTCAGGTTGTCAGGCTTGATGGCAAGCACCTTTTTCCACTAAGCCATCTACTGGCCCTACTTTGGGTTTTGAATGAGTGAGTTTAAGTATATTGCAAGACAAAGGTAGAAGAATAAATAGCAAGTGTCAGGTAGATAGAAGCAGTGGTGCTATATCATCAAACTGGGTGCTTAAGACATCCAGCAGAAATCAACTGGGGATGTCCTGCTTAAGCAGACAGCTGGAATTCCTGATAGAGCCCCAGGCAGAGTAGTATCCCCTTGGGTGAGGCTTCCAAGTAAAAGAACAAATAGAGTGGTCATGAGTGCCGTTAATGCCAGAACTCAGGAGGCAGAGTCAGGGAAATCTCTGAGTTTGAGGCTAGCCTGGTTTATCAAATTGGGACACAACATCCAGTAGAACCTGAAAGAAATTGAAGCTGTCAGCTGAGTTCCCCACTGAGTTTTCTGTGCATGAGTGAGCTACCTGTGGCTGAACTTTTTTAAAAAATGACTTTATTTATTTTATTTTGTGTGTGTATGTGTGTGTGCCTGAGCATATGTAGGTGCACCATGTGCATTCAGGTACCTGAAGAGGTCAGAAGAAGGTGTTGCATCCCCTGGAGCTGGAGATACAGGCAGTTGTGAGGGGCCCAATGTGGTTGCTGGCAATTGAACTAGGGTTCTCTGCAAGAGCAGCAAGTGTTCTTAACTTCTGAGTCATCTCTTTAGCTTGCATCCCACCCCCATGCCTGAGCGCTTGGCTCTTCTTTCCCGCTATAGCCATTTTTCCGTTATGGGATTAACAGTAGTAACCTTTTGGGGTTAGAGGGTGACTCAGTAATTAAGAGCTGCTCTTCCAGAGGACTGGAGTTCGGTTCCCAGCACCTACATGGGGCAGCTCACAACTGCCTATCACTCTAGCTCCAGGGGATCTGATGCCTTCTTCTGGCCTCTGCAGGCAATCGCACATATGTGGCATACACTCATACAGACACACACACACACATAAATAAAAATAAAAATTTTACCAAAAAATCCTAATCTGAATTGGAAATACTTTGCCTTCCAGTTGTTCTCAAGGGCACAATATTTTTACTCTTGGGAAGTTTTGTTGTTCTCTTCCCTCCCCATTGGAGGTGGGGGCAGCCCACCAAGGGGTCTTGGAGGGCACTTTGAAACAGGACACTTTAAGACAAACATGCTAAGGTCTGAAATGGGTGGGTGGAGGATGAGGGACAACTTGCTTCTAGAGCCAGCTTCTCACTGACCTCAGACAGCACATGGCAATTTATCTATAACGTACACTGCAATTTGTTTCATTGTTTTTTGTCTGTTACTTAATTGATTGTTCTTGTTCTATACTAGACTATCCTAGGCTGTCTTTAATCTCATAGCGATTGGCCTGCCTCTGCCTCCCTAGTGCTGGGATTAAAGGTGTGTACCATCATGCCTGGCCAGACTCTGGATTCTTTTACTCTAGTAGTTTTTCAGTTGATCACTTGAGTTTTCCTGTGGAGCTCTTGTCTGAAACGAGAATAATACAGATTTCACTTTCTTAATCTCTGTGCCGAGTGTTTCTGTTTCATATTACTGTGTTGGCAGAAACACAGGATGAGCAAACCTGACATGCTTGTTCCGTTCATTGAAAGAGCCTGAGTCTCAGGCTTCCATCCTCTGGGATGGTGATAGAACTGAGTTGCTCCTGTTCCTGATTAGTTTTCAAACTTTATTATAGACAATTTCACCTATCCACAAAAGTAAGAGTATTAGCAGGGCATAGGGGCCACACCTGTCATCCCAGCACTGAGAGGCAGAAGTAGGCAGATCTCTCTGAGTTTAAGGCCAGCCTGGTCTACATAGAGAGTTCCAGGCCAGTCAAGGCTACATAGTGAGACGCTTCCTCAAAAAAAAAAAAAAAAAAAAAAAAAAAAAGTTAGGATGAATCACTGTGCCCCAGATGGACCTTCATACACTCACCATACAGGGTCTTGTTTTAACTATCACATCCCTTTTCCACTCGCTTACTTTAAAGCTAATTCAGACATAATGTTTCATTTTAGTTTGTGTCTCTGGAAGGAAACTAAAGACTCTTTTCTTATTAACAGAACCATATCATCATTAAGAAACTTTTTTTTTCTTTTTTTGGTCTTCTTGAAATAGGGTTTCCCTATAGCCTGTAGAAACCTTTTTTAATTTAAAAATTTTTATTTTATGTGTATGCATGTATTGCCTGTATGCAGGTAAGTGTGCCCATGTCATGTAATGCCTGAGGAGGACAGAAGAGGCTGTTGGATCCCCTGGAACTGGAGTTACAGAGAGTTGTTAGCTGTTATGTAAGTGCTAGGATTCGAACCCAGGTCTTCTGCAAGAACAGTCAGTGTTCTTGACCACTGAGCTATCTCTCCAGCCCCATCATTAAGAAGCCTTGAAAAAAATAATTAGCAAGTGGCATGATGGTTCACACTTGTAATCTTGATAGTTGTAAAGCTGAGGCAAGAGAATTGCAGTGTGTTCAAGGCCAGCCTGGGTCACAGAGTAAGTTCTAGGCCAACCTGAGCTACAGAGTAAGACCTGTCTGTAACAACAAAATCAATTAAAAAAAATAGGAATGGGCATGGTTGGCCATGCCTGTAATCCTAGCACTTGAGAGATTGAGGCAAGGAAGGAAGATCATCAGTTTGAGGCCAGCCTGGGCTACATATAGTAAGACACTATAGCAAAAAGAAGTAGTCATTAAATATGTAGTCTGTGTTCAGATTCCTCTAATTCCCTCATAAATTTCTTTTGGAGTTGTTTTGTTTGAATCAGAAATTAAGCCAGAAATTCTGTTTGCATCAACATGGGTAAGGCTGGAGGACATTAGGTTAAGTGAAATAAGCCAGGCACAGAAGACAGATGATGCTCCCACTGGTGTGTGGAATCTGAGACAGTTGATTTCACAGAAGAGGGAGGAGCAGAGGGCTCCTGAAGTAGGGAAGGATTATTCTAAATTTGAAGGGGACAGTTTCAAGGCCTGAATTATGATTTTTTTCAGACTTTTCTGAGTCCTTGGGATTAACTATCTTAGGGCTTTGTATTCCTCTTTATTTTTTTAAGATTTGTTTTATTCTTTTACATTGTGTGTGTGTGTGTGTGTGTGTGTGTGTGTGTGTGTGTGTGTGTGCCTATGGAGGCCAGAAGAGGGCATCAGATCCTCTGGGGCTTAAGTTACAGGCAGTTGTGAGTCACCAGACATGGGTGCTGGGAGCTGAACAGGTCCTCTGGAAGAGCAGGAAGCATTCTTAACTGCTGAACCATCTCTCCAAGCCCTTAAAAATTTCTTTTATTAATTTGTTTTATGTGTGTGTGTGTGTGTGTATGTGTATGTGTGTGTACATGCACATATGCTATATACTATGGTGAGTGTGGTGATCAGAGGACAGCTTCCAAGAACCGGTTCTCTCCTTGCAACAGGATTGAACTCCAGTTGTTAGGTCTACTGGCAAGTGCCTTTACTGAACCATCTTGCTGGCCCTGACTTTTTATTCTTTTGAAATAATTCCTTTGAGGGGGCGGGGATGGAGAGATGGCTCAGTGGTTAAGAACACTGGTTGTTCTTGCAGAAGACTCAGGTTTGAATCCCAGTACCCACATGGCAGCTAACAACTGTCCATAACTCCAGTTTCAGGGGATCTGACAGCCTCTTCTGTCCTCCGCAGGCATTGCACGACACAGGCGCACTTACCTACATGCAAACAATACATCCATACACATTAAAAAAAAAAAAGAATTCCTTTTTTTTAAGACTAGATCTTGGGGATGGAGAGATGGCTCATCAGTTAAGAGCACTGGCTGCTCTTGCAGAGGACTGGGGTTCCAGCACCCACATGGCAGCTAACAGCTGTCCATAACTCCAGGTCCAGGGGATCCAACACCCTCTTCTGACCTCCATGGGCAGTGCAGGGCATGGGTGCACTTACATACATGCAGGCAATACACTCATACACATAAAAAATAGTAATAATAAATATTTTTTAAAAAAGACTGTATCTTACTGTATAGCTCAAGCTGGCCCTGAACTCAAGGCAGTCTTTCTGCCTCAGTCTTCCTTATGCTAGGATTATAGTGGGAGTCACCTACCTCTGCTGAAATAATTCTTTGATGATAATGAAAATGTGTTCTTTTGAGCTGGGTGTGGTGGTACACATCTTTAATCCCAGCACTAGGGAAGCAGAGACAGGCAGATCTCTGTAAGATGGAGGCCAGCCAGGGTTACGTAGGAAGACTGTGTTTCAAAAAAGCCAGGTATGGTGGTGCATACCTTCTTTAGTCTTTATATTCTAAATTTTTATTTTTATTTATTTATTTATTTATTTATTTATTTATTTATTTATTTTTAGTCTTTGTGTTTCTCTTTAACAGATGCTGACATGTTTAAGTTTGATAAGTCTTGATGCCTAGAAGATTGCATGCAACAACACACTCACAGAGATCCACCTGCCTCTGCTTCCTGAGTGCTGGGATTAAAAGCGTGTGCCACCGGGCCCGGCTTTCTAAATTTTTATTTTTATATTATGTGTAATGAGTGTTTTGCTTGTATGTAAGTGCATCAT